CAGGCTGAGGCTGATGCCAAGCCAGAAACTGACAGGAATGCTTTGATATTGAATGAGATTCAAAAGGTGGAATGGAAGTAGTAGATCAAACCCAGAGTATAATGCTGGGCAGCACTATGTGCTGGAGGAATGTTGATTTAGATATTGTACTTATAAATAAATAAATATTTGCCTGTAGTTTTTAGTGGGATAGTTGTTTATCCTTATGTTTATCCTTATTTCTCATGCTTCAGTTCATTGGGAAAGTTGTCACATAGATGAGATGCATCACCTCTGAATAAGGTACAACATCAGTTATGTAAAAGAAACATCAATGGTGCCCACTCATGTTGAGCTGAGAAATAGAAAAAAGGAAAAAGTATTCATCTTTTGCCATGTAACTCATTAAAGATCCCCTCAGATGAATATTTTTTTTTATTACTTTGAGGTGAAAGTCAGTATTTAAATTAAAAATGTGGTTTTTATCAGTTAGATGACTCTTCCTGCAAGCTGGTACTGGTATGCCTCAGCAGTAGAGCCAGTGCAGGTCTGTTTTACAGGAAAGTATGAATACTGTGCATTTGTCATCTAGAAATAACTGCTGAATTGTTCATTAACACACTAGTTTGAATCCACAGTCTACCTCTCCACTGAATTATAACTTAAATTAAGCTCTGTTTGGTGGCTGAATTCTTTGACAATGCCTTGGTCATTCTCTTGAAACATGTCTTTCCATCGATTTTTTTTTAATTCAGTTTAGCACACCTCCTCATTTATCCAACACATAACTTCTTGGTCATCCTGCATGTCATTAATATATTTGGACAAGGGCTACAATTTCTTTCTCAACAGAAACAGTACAGATTTGGTTTTTTGTTTACTACAAACTCAAGAGTAAACTCCTGCTCTGACCTGCTGGTAACTGAAGGCTGGTAAAGGAAGAATTATGCAACAGGAATGTGAGGAAATATCTCCATTCATTATAGTTCAGAATCAGCAGAGCAAAGCCTCTAAGCTGCTGTTACAATTTCCAAGTAAAACGATCTCTTCTCCTCACCCTCAGCTCAGCTTAGTTTTGTGTAGGTAAGATATACTTGTTAAGAAAGAGAACAACAGGCAAAAATGTTGTATTATGGTACAAAAGAAATGAAGATTGGTTAAGCCAATTTCATGACTATACAAGCCTTTGTTAGTCCCAGACGTACTACACAAACTTTTACTGTGCTGACCATTGAAACAGACAATCTGATCTCATTTTTGTGATTTGATATATAAAAAACATTATGTACTGGTTGTTAATGTTTTATTTTCACATCCAAAGAAATGCAGTGAATGCCTAAATTTTCTCACCAACCAGGACAACCTTCCTTTGGTCTGTAAAATGTGGCTTACTAGAGATTAAAATAAAAAGCCTACTTCTGATCTGCAGCCTGCTTTAGGAAGCTCCCAGCATAATACCAGAGATACCAGATCCCCCAGCAGATACCAGAGCTGCTGTTTAGCACAGAGTTGGCATGTGGAAGAGAGAAATGGCAATTTTGCTTGGTGGCAGAAAACCATTGACTAATCCTTTGGGGACCTCTGAGTTATGTTTTTGTGGGGATGCCTGGGAAGGCAAAGTGATTTTTTTGAAATTTTGTGATCCAGTTAATGTTTGGTAATGTGATGGAATAAATGTTTTTAAGATATTTGTGCTACTTATTGGCCATTAATTGTAGAGAGATGTATGCTGTTATTGATAGTAAGCTGTCCTTGACCCAATTTTTTTCAATAAAATTGTTTATAAAGTAGGAACCAAACCCTCTCAGGAGTATGAATGTATGTTTGACTGAGATGTAACTGCAAAGGAGAAGTTGATCTTGTTTTCCTGTGAAGTTTTAGTGTTATTATAGAGGATACTAGAGATGGCACAAGGTGTGCCTGTTTAGGAATGAAACACAACCTTTAAGTCTTATGCAAAGTATTCAATTAGATGAATTAAAAAAGTTGATACTGGGGGAATTTCTGAACCTGAGAGGGGGGAAATTTACAGGTTTTGACATGGGTGGAACAGTTTAAAATGTATGTGTGACTCTTCCTGTCTTTTTCTGTTCAGACTTTTTAAGAATGTTACATGAAGAGAATCTGGGTAATGATATGCAATTTGTTTCAGAAATATCTGAATATTTATTCTGGTTCTGTGGTTAAAAGATCAGTATCCAGCCCTTTCTTATGCCATGCGTGTTTTTACAGGGTGAGTTGGTGGAAGTTGATAAGTCTGAGACCTTGACTGAAATGGCCCATGTTAATCTTGCTTAACATTTGTAGCTTTTATTTCTTTTCTGAAAGAAAGATTGACTCTTTTCCCTTGATAACCTCTAAGGCACTCACTTGCAAATAAATGTAGTCTTGGCAGGAGGAAAAAAAGGTAGCTCTTAATATTGAAAAGGATATACTCTGCATGCATCTAAGCAACTGTATACATTTACATAGATTTACTTAGTCTTTATTTTTGTGCTTTTTTGAAAATGATGGATGACTTATCATGTGATTAGTCTTTCAGCTGTGATCTTTTTCAAGCTGCTTTTGGGTGGAAATCGGAATTTGTAACATGGAAAGCAAACATTTTCATTTGCTCTTTTTAAACTACTACACAGTATTGAATGTGCTAAGTGTTTAGGAAAAAAAATCTCAGCTTATTTTGTGTTTATAACTAAGCAGTGTAACATGACCTGTACTAAATAAATTAAGCCAGTGGTGACTTGAGACTGTGCTTGGCAAGACACTGAAGCTGGGAGGTCTCAGCCTTCCACACCTACATCTTATTTGCAGCCTGGAAGAAGAAAACCAAGTTTACTTGCCTTTTCCTAATTTGTTCCTAATTTGTTTCCCAGCCTGGAATTAACTAGTGATCATTTTGAACTAAATTGTGTAATTTGAAATGAGGAAAATATTCACAGATCTTGTGGAAGATAATATGCTGTCAAAATCTGGTGTATTGCATAAGTGGACTGCTTACAGTGGCTTTGTCAGTGATTTCTCCTCAGCTGACTTGTTTAATTTGGTTTGAAGCAGCAAACATATTTTGATGTATTTTGTTTAAATTATCTCACTTATACCTAAGATAATATTATCACTGCAAAAACTTTTGGATTTCAGGTATCTTTATATCAGATAAGCTAATGTTAAAATAAAATTGTGCTCTTAATTTTTTTCATATTCAACCTACTTGGTTGCAAAAGGATGATGTTAGAATTGGCCTTTCACTGCTGTGGGGATAGATTTCAGGCAATTTATGATATACTGAGATGATGTGTTGTGAGTTGCATGTTATTACCCATTTGGCATTTCTGTAAACCAAGCAGAGTTTTATTGTGTGTTAGTTTGTTTGCATCTGCTGAGCCAGCGAGGTGTGAAACCACACACTTGTGGCTCAGTCTCTCTTGAGCTTACTGCAGGTAAGTCTAGTTAGTGAATGGTTTTCTGCTGTGAGTGGTAAGACTATGTGCTTTGCAATAGTTCCATCTCACAAATTAAGTGAGCTGGAAGGTCACAAATTGACGCAGATTGTTCGTTAAGAGATTTTTCTTCAGGTAAAATGTCGGCAATGTAGAGTGGTTATAGCAATTTTTTTTGCAAACAAAATCAATACTTCATTATGGAAAATAAAATGGATGTAGTTACCTGCATTGCAGACAAGGTGATGGTAGGAACAGACATGCAGAACGACTGGATTCCTCGGGAACAGAGCATCATTTTTAACACAGATTTTGTTTTTCAATTATTGTTTTCTTGTCAGTATTCCTGGCATACGGTGTAACAATATTTTGATGACTGCCAGAAAATACCTTGCTACACCGGTGTGACGCTGGCTGAACACAGAAAAGTAAACAAGAATTTGGCTTGACCAGAGCAGGCTTTATGATTTAATGAGGAGAAAGATGAAGGGAAGTGATGAAGGCCAGAGCTGTGAATGAGCGTGGATGGCTCAGGACTGCCCAGGAGCCTCCTGTGGGACTAATGGTTAATGCAACAGTGGAACCTCAAGCTTTTTGTGCAGTTTTCAGTTCAAACCTGGTACTTTGTCACAAATTTAGAAAATAGCAAATCTCCACAGAATGGATGAGGTCAAGAAGGATCTCTGAAGATCAAGTAGCCCAACCCCCAGCTCAAGGCAGAGGCTGCTCAAGCGGCTTGCTCAGGATTTTGTCCATTGGGATCTTGCGCTTAAAGCCATGCATGGAGCTTTGCTCTCTGCTCTGGTAACATGTTGTTGACCTCGTTGACATTGTAATGCTTTTCCCCATTTGGCATTGCTTTCTACATAGCATTATAGTGTGTGATTTAATGTCTCATCTCAGCACAACAAAGTGTTTTTTAAACTTCAAAGCGAAACTGTGCGACCTCTTGGTTATGGAGAGAACTGTTGGTATGACTGAGAGACTTTACTGCAGTAGTTCATTGGTCCTTTGTGCTGCTTTGTGAGCATTTCAGGTGAATCTGCTTATAGCCTTTAAACTGTAAAAAACTAGCTGAAACAAACTAGATGCTGAAAAATTCCATAGCTTGGTAAGAGCAAAGGTTGCCTTGGGAAAGGGCTTGTACTCACTTCTGTGGTGGTGCAGACAACTTAATTTCAATTTGTAATGATGTTGGATAGATGCACAAGACTAATGAAGGTACTTCTACCCAAGCCCTCTACACAGAAGTTTCATTCACGTCCTTGACCTAAGTAAGGGGAAGTATTAGAATGACATGAAGGCCAAATGTGACTTAGTTTGACTTTAATGTGCAGTACTGTGTGATGCATGCCCTGCAGTAAATGTTGTGCTTTGGTTATTGTGCAGTTTCTGAAATTCCACTGTAAGAGTGGTCATGTGATGGAGCCTCACTGTAGGGAAGTGTTTTCTCTGTACTCTTTCTATTGGGATCAAGTTACTCCAAGCATTTCTGAGTGGTTCTTATAATTCCTGTACATACAGAAGTGCTGTTGGCTTTATGCCTTATCACATTACCCATCCCAGGTAATTTCTGTGCTGTATTCCAGGGACTGCTGAGGTTTGATCCCAGGACAAGTGCTCTGTGTCTGTATGTAAGGAAAGCCTCATGTCTGAGGAAGGGTAAGTTTCTAAGGCAAGGGTTTGCATGGAATTGCTGAGCTATCCCCTGGTGGCTCTTATGCTGTGACAGGCCAGAAATACTTCTTGTTTGCACAGGAGTGTGAAATCAGGCCAGAATGATTAATGTAAATGTAAATTAATGTGTTCTGTACCCATTTGAATGGCTTTGTTCATTCAGATGGTGGTTGAATTGTAATCTCAGGCAATGATTTAAATATGAAGTAGTCCTGAAACAATATAGTTGCCTGTTGGCTTTTAATGATCTTGTGAAGAAGTGTTTTTTGAATGGATATCTCATTATAAAGGTGATAACAACCTAACTACTGGTGGAGGGAAAAAAAAAGAGGAACAAAGTCAGAAATGCTAAGTAATATGTGCATGTGTAAGTTATATGCTTCATGTAAAATTTGTGTCCTTCTGAGATGTACATGAGCATATGTTGGAAATTATTTTTTTCTGTTTATAGTATAGCATTGAGGCTTTAAACTGGTGCATGATTGGCTGCTAATCCATTTTTGATAGCCTTCCATGGCAAGATGTTGCTGTTTATCTCTTTTTGAGACTTCATACTACCATAACCATGTGCTTTTCTTAGAGATGTGTGGATGGCCACACTGCACAGAACAGTTAATGAATCTATCTCTAGGAGCAGTCTCCATTGGATCAGACATTAACCTATCAAAACTAGGAAGAAAGAAAACACAAAGAAAGCAGCATCTGGATGAAAAGGACACCTGACACCCCTGCTCTTTGAAGCTACCTCATTTTGTTTGTTTATGGACTCACAGTTGGAGTAGTGTCACTGTGGGCTAGTTAATTCAGAGTTGGATTTGAAATTGACTTGTTAACCTTTCTTTACTTAGGAGAATGAATGGTCAGATGAGCAGATCTTGTTATAGGGAGAAAAACTACTTATTTATATAGGTGTAAGGTGTGTGACTAGCAATGGTGTTAACCTTTCTTCAAAACTATAAGGAAGGCTTTTTTTGATATGTGTTACTAGTATCCCACTTTGAATATTACATTTTCTCACTTTGTGTTTTCACAGTAATCGTTTTTCCCTTTCACTTGGGTTTGAAAAAATTCAGCGACAGGAACAGTTCCTGAATTCAAAATAGACTAGTACTAGTACTTTTTTCTTGGACTGTTAAAACATACTCCTGGTTATATATTCCTTGCAGGATCAGCACAGCAAAAAGGACAATGAAAGGATTTCATGTGCTCCTTAAATAAGCATTACATAAAACAAAATCTAAAATTAATTAGGACTTACCTTTTAAGCACTTGTCAAATCTCCTCATTGTCAGGTTTTCTTCCTACTTAACATTCACTTTATATCAAATAAATGAGAGGTACATGATAATACTTTCAGAATCACCTAAATCCCTTTATTTTTAATGCACACTCAGGTACCCCAATGCTCATTGGAAGCCCATAGGGCTCGGACTCAAATTGCTGTTGTTGTTCAAGGAGGAGACACTTAAGGACTTTTAAAAATCTGCCTCCTGCTCAGACTAGCTGGTAGCATTCAGGACAGGAGTAAAGTAAAAATGCACCAATGTACACAGGTATGAGCATGTGTACAATATGTCTGTAGCTGTATACATGTGTCGTTCCACAGTCAGAGTTCTCTTGAAATGGAAATTGCCTTAGCTAGAAAGTGGAGGTGGTTCCTGCTGACAAATAAAACCACATGTTTTTAGAGCTCTAATAGTTGTGCTTCAGGACAGAGAATGTCTCTCTCCCACTATCCTTCAGACGACAGCTGCCACAATGAAGCCTGACGATGAAGAATACATTTTTTGTGGCTGTATCCTGGGCACTGGGAAGCCTCTACAGTTCAGAACAATAGCAGAATATGGAGCTGCCAGCAGGCAGTCAGAGTGGACAAGTATAATCATGCACCACTCAGCTTTCAAGGAAATTACAGTTAGTGCACTGACTTGCTCATAATAGCAATCCATTGTTTAGCTTAATAACTTACCAGCTCTCCAGGAACCAGCTAGTGATCACTGTCATCATACACTGCTAATCATTCTGTTCTTAAATTATCCCAAGATGAACTAAGGACCCATCACATCACCTATTAAACCAGCAAACTGAGTGCACTATAATTTTATTTTTTTTTTAAGCTAGAAGGAACAATATTGCCTACCTTTTTTTCTTCTCTTGTTTTGTCATTATCTATGTCATATGTAATTGTGCCTGTAGGTTTTTTTAAATGTCTGGTAGAAAGGACATTGTCAAATTGTGTTGGGATATTTTTAGATAGATAGAGTTTATGTTAAATTGTGGGGGTTTTGTGATAACTACTAGGGAACTGAATCTGCAACCTGCTTTTTAAGCAGGTTAATTTGTTTTTCATAAAGCATTTATGGCAGAGGGGTGATTTTTTATTTTTTTTATGGTGTTTTCTGTAGTACCTGGGTTCCTGTCAATCACTTGTGTAGCCTGAGAATGCCCCTCTTTAGTAGTGAAGAATGATTATCCCTCTTAGACAAACATAGAATTTAGGCACAGGAGGATAGCATGATTTACCCAGAGCCATGCAGGGAGCTGTAGAAGAACAGGAAGGAGAAGCAAGCTGGTCCCTTTGAGTCCTGATCCCAGTAGGCTTTCTAGCCAAAGGGTTATTTGTAAGTTCAGAGCTGCCAGCACTGAAGGAGCCTTGGAGTATTTCTTCTGAAGGAAGAGTGGCCACAGCTTCATTTGCAGACATTGATATGAAAGATCCTTGAGTGGTGCAAAGTGCCAAACCTGCTGGGACACTTTGTGTGGTCAGGAGTGCACAGACATGCAAGCCACATGAGCAGATCTCCAACCTGTCCCATGCCTAGGACTGAAATGGTGAGTCTGTTACAAGGGGAGGGGAAAACAGGTGCATGTGCCCATGTGAAACAGGCTTCCTTGCTGTTCTGAATAGTGCAGGCAGCTGTTGTATAGTATCTCCTGATCTCAGGAATTGTGCAGACTGTGGGGTCAGCTGTTTTTATCAGAACAGAACAAGTACACCGGGATTTAAATGAAACCCTGAGTGTTTTTGTGGGTTTTTTTTAATTTTTTTTTGTTTTGTTTTCATCTTTCCTGTGTCTGTCTTGGAAAGACAATTGTATGTCTTGATCAGTGACAACTAGAATTAAAACAAGGACCCTTCTGCTCCAAGATTTATTGCCTGGCACATCTATGTCTGATGAAGTGTCATCTTTCATGTTTTGAGAAGATGCTGTCTGACTGAGATATCTCTGAAGAATATAAGTCAAACCTATTCTTGTCAGTTATAGTAATAGTCTAGCTCAAATTATATAGGACTTTGTATATTGTACTGAAAAATGTAGACCCAGCCTTTGTTAATAAACAGAAAAGATCAAGTTGTTACAAAATGGTGATCTCTACAGAGACTACTGACTTTTGCATATACTTCAGATGCATCACCTACTTTTGGCAGCAAGAAGTGAAAAAAATGCTGAGTAGGTATGTCATGTCCCCAAGGTAAATTCTGTAATAAGGAAGTACCTGAAGCTTATGGGTGTGGCTTTCTCTTTTCCATGGGAATATTTCCCACTTCTCCAGGAGTTTTCCATCTTTCTTTGAAAACAATTGTTCAGGTTGCAAGTCAGTCCTGTTTTATTGGCTTCATATTCTGTAGGGCCAACAAATGGCATTCAGCCCAAACTCCAAGGTTGTACCAGTTCACTGTATTTTGCACTGTACAAAGTTGAAAAGCATTGCCAAATGAATAAATAGAATTGAATAGGATTGAACTGGAAATCCTAAAACCTCCTATTAAACAATGCCAACCTGTTCTTTAATGCAACACAATGGCTGTGCAATGATTTATGTTACTGTGTGCTTTGAAATGTGTCTGGCTTGGTAGTTATGCTTGACCAGAGCTTTCTCTCACAAGAAGTATTTTTTTCTTTGCCTTGTCTATAGATACAAGAGTGGAAATATTCAAAGCAATGATTTTGTTACAAATCTGCTTGGGATGCAGATTTGATTAACTCATTTCTCTGCGTAGCAAAATTAACAATTTTCTCTGTGTTGGTGACTTAGAGCCCAGGCTGAAATATTCACATTAGAGGGGGTGGTCCTGTAAAACCCTGTTCATGCAAATTGGACATCAGTGTGCTTGAGGTTTCTGAAAATATACCTTCACACTCCCACTCCACAACAAACAATGGCTTCAAACCATGCTGGAGCTGCCCAGCAAAAAGATGGGAGCACTGTAAGCATCAGTTGTCCAGAAGAACAAAGGAATGGGAGAGCCTTTGGTAAAATAAAAGTTAAAGTAGCAGAAACCACACATATGTCACTTGCCGATTTTCCCAGGCTGAGAAATGCCATGTTGCTTCCAGTCTGCTCATCCAGATCCAAAAGCCTTTGCTTTTTGCAGCCTCATCAAAAATGAAGCTTATTTTACAGAAATCCAGTAAATTACAGATTATTAAATAATTCAGCTTTTCTTTGGACAGGTCAGCAGTGATTTGCTTGGAAACCTTGGCATACTGTTGAGTTTCTGCTGTGGTGAAAGGTTGCCTATGATTTAATCTAAAAGATTCCCTT